ACTCAAGTTTCAAGAGAAACCCCACAGAAAGGGGAAGTGATGAGTTGTGAGCATGTGAAAACTGCCGAGTTCTCACATAAAAAGTTTAAATTTTTTTTTGAAAAATGCCTCTGTACCCAGGGCAAAAGCATATCAGAGAAAAGCTGTCTGCTATGATGCCAAGATGGTCCACGATGGTCTATCGAACCTCAGTTACATACAAAGATCTAACAAAAGCGTTGCAGAAAGCAGACTATTTTGAAAGTGAAAACCCTGGTGAAGAAAACGGGGTTTTAGAAACCATGTCCTCCGCAATCAAGGAAGAAATGATTGTTGACTGGACTCCTAGAAAGGTTTATGATATTTTCCTGCTACAATTTTCTTCGGAGTAATAAAGCCAAAAGCAACATGACTTGAATCTAGAATCTCTACTCAATTCATCTTATAGGACAGAAACTTTCCCTCAATGGGAAACTATATGCCAAACCTGTAGTATACATGTAAAAAAGCCATTGGTCTGGTTTTACGTAACTCAAGCTGAGTGGAGGAGAATGCAAGTTTAAACGATAAATTTCAGTATGGGGAAACCTTGAGCCAGCAGGAATGAGTATGGGACACATTGATTGGTGTCGCTGACTGGCGCAAAAATTCCCCAGACACACTGCTGGTTTTTATCTACTCATGATCGATGTATGGACATATGATAAGGTGCTTCTTGATTTGGGTAATGTTCACTCCTTGAAGAAAGTTACAAAAAGGAAAAGTACTCACAGATAATGATTAATTTTCCCCCCCGAGAATATGGTACTCTCAGATGACCATAACTTGCAGTCTAGTCATGAGTCACAGAGTTATCAGCACATATCCGAAACAGGAACAGAAGAGAATGGCATATACCCAAGTTTATACGTGGCCAAAAAAAGAATATCCCAACTTTATCTTGCTAAACAGCTCAATTTTTGCAACTTAATAATAAGCACATGGAACAGTGAATCCAGTCTGAAACTCTGAGGGACGGCAGTTCCATACCTAAGAACAGTTTGGAACCGAGCAAAGTATCCTGCCACTGCAAAACATATCTACTTGAAGAATGGCAAAAACGATCTTAATTTATAGACAAGACCCTATTATCACCAATTTTTTTGGATAACTCTCAGTCAATTTTGTGACCTGAGAAAAGGTTCAACAGGATATCGGAGATCCATACTAACATATACCATGAATTAGCCTTTTCTCCTACTGCAGCCAGCTGAAGCAGGGCCCAACACCCACAACACTGCAGCAAAAATTGCCATATACTTGAGCTTTGTGCTTAAGCCCCATGTTATTTTTGTTAATACTTTAAAAGCTCATAAATATCTGTCTTCAGAGTTCAAGCTAACTACTATGCGGAAACTGGGTAGGTAGCCAGCAAATCTTAGACCGGTAGAAAAGGTGGAATTGCTAATTGTGGTAGCCACAGAGACACGCATGGGGTTATCCGTTCTAGGTTCTCTTTGATACACTCATCCTGTTACGGATAAACGACACAGAGAAGCCACTATATACTCTGTTATCCATCCATTAATCTTTCGCCCTCAAAGGATAAACCAAATTTGAGGGAATTAGTCCGTCAGAAGGCGATCACATGGCCTTTTGTTGAGAGCCTGTTCTATTTCCAGAACAAGATGATAGATAACCAAAGGATGGGTAAGATGTTTCAAAAGAGACAGGAAACAGGCACTTGAAAATTGTTTTCATAAATTTTCCACACTTTAGAGAGTAGGAAAGAGAGAGGTCTTTTTGTCTTTGGATATCTCCTAAGGGCTATGAACAAGTCTATATAGAATCTACAGGGATACAAAACAAAGAAAAGGATAGAAAAACAAATAAAAGGGGCCAAACCTGGAAAAAGTTCACTGGGTGGGTGGGCTTTTTAGAGTGTAGACCCCTTAATGGTAGGCAGCTTTTCTTTTTTGCTTTCTTTTCTAATTTGTGAGTGCTGTCCAAAAGCTGGGTTGAAAAGTATGGGAAAGCAGAATCTCTAAAGACTTTACTTTCCTTCTTTCAATTACATAAAAAGGTACATTTTTTCTTTCTCCTTTTTTTGTTTTTTATTGTGCCTCCGAAATAGAATTTTGTAAAATAAAACAGGGAAAGATCAATTAGAGAAGTCCATAGGGTTTGGCTATAAGCTGGTTATCATGAACAAGCGGCTGTTTTAATTTAAACTCAATTGAAAAGTTTAGGTAGCTTGCTAACAGGTTTGGCTATAAAAATTTGGCAGAACATGAAAAATTATCATAAAATCCCATCACAAATAGAAATAATTCATGGATGAAGACTGGCTGAACAAGGCCCTGATGTTCATTTATGTAAAAGTTAGGGTTAAGATTGAATCAATGACATAGCTGTCAAGCAAGACAATCAAATAACTAACATATCACAACTCAAACACAACAAATGCTGGTAGCCTAACTGAACATCCTCAACTTCTTAATAGCTTGCTTCATGCTTCATTAAAGCACAAGCCGGAATGTCCTATTGCTCCTTTGGCTATCCAATGGGAGGAGAACCATTTTGGTAGCTAAATTAAATTCAAAATTTGTAAATACCAATTAGATGCACCTATATCTTATCAAATGATTGACTACTCATAACAGTCTAATGAAAAAATCAGTTCATGTTCTTAAACACTATGTTGTCCCAATCATCATAGGGTGTTGTATGACATTCTTAACAAAGATGCTAGTTAAGTTCCATGATCAAATTTAAAAAAAAAAAAGATGAGGGGAAGGGGGGATATGGAAACTGGCCTGTCTCCTAATGCCATTTAACTTGACTTAACATCATGAAATTTTACAAAAAGATGACTGATTTTTCAAGCAGTTCCAATGCAGAAAAAGGTTTTGTTTTAATGACAATTCCATGATTGTTCTGAGATCAAGATTTTTAAACTTGCAACTATTTGCTAACTGAACAAATAAGCCCCTAACTAAATGCAATGGTGATAAACTACAAAATGTTTTTAATCTTTGACTTCACTTATACTGAATTCAATCCTCAATCCTAAATCAGTAACGAGTACTTTCACAGTTTCACTGTACTTATCAATGTGTGGTAAACTTAAGTTTATGTAATACCAATTCGACTTTATATTCATAGGAGTATTATGGCATTCATAATCAATTCAGTTCACTTCAACATGTTTTCATCCAAAAAAATAATATAATAAAAGAATGAGGAGATATCATTTCTACCTTTTGCACCATTCATATGCTGAGGTCCATCAGAAAGAGAGAGAAAACTGGGTTGTCTCTTGAGGTAATTGAGGATGGGTTAACCACAATGAACTTGTGTCAAATGAAGATTGCATTTTTCTCTATTGAGATTTGTTTTATATGAACTTAGGCTCAAAAATGGAAAGAGTTATTTATGAACTAGCAATAAGCCATGAAAAGCAAACCATTATTCCCAACCAAACTAAGAGACTGCAAAGAATATGGTATGAGATACTTCCCAATGCTTTGAGTATTTTGAATGCACCTGTTCCAAATTGATATATCATAAATCAGCAATATGAATTTTACTGTACTGGCCTACTTCATTAATTCAAGTATTATGTTTCAACATGGTTAGATTGAACTTCCTTCGAGAAGAATTACAAGGCCACATTTTAAGGTCCGTTAAAGTCTATTCATGAAGTGGCTACACTTGGATTTAAACCATCACTCTTGGACTTAGTACCATGAAATCATCATTACCGCACCAAATAATGGCCGAGTCTGTTTTTTAAGGACAACAAGCAGAAACACAATGCAATTTCCAAATGCTATTTATTTCTATCTAAGATGGTGTGCTTTATAACAGTGTTCTCCATGAAGTTTTATATATTGCTTGAAATTATCCAACTAAACACAAATAGAACTAGAAAATACAAGGATGGGACAAAAACTCTCCTAGGCAATAGCACTTCAGCTCCAAGATCAAAGATGCATTTCCCAATAATGACCTACTAATTGCTAATCTACATTCTTCAGCAATCAAGAAAGTAGTTAAGCAATCTCATAACAAGTACCGTCATCGCTCTAGATAGGAAAAGTGAAAACTGATAATTAATTTTTTTAAGCAGGGAGTAAGCTTAGAAGTCTATCATGCATTGATAAAAATAACATAAGTAGTTATGTATACATTTTGAATCAATCAAAGAACTTATTCTACAACTATGGCAAAAAAAAAGTGCACCATATGAACACACGAGGTTTTAAAACCCTGTCAAAAGTTAAATTAGCTAACGCATAAAAGTATCTAAACTAAAGGTTTTCACCCAATTATCCATTTTCATCTTGAAGAGACCTACAATATCAGCAAGCAATCGAGGATGATTAAGCCCTAGGAGCCAACCAACCCATCTAAACTCAATGGATTTACCAGTTATCCAGAGCAATGCAAATGACTTTTGACCTCTAGAAATGGAAGGGCACCAAAATCACAAATCCTGACTCTCTCTATACATAGTCATATAGTTTCAAAACAGTGATTGCGTAGTCATTAAAGGAAACCAAATAAAGAAAAGCATAAACAATAAACATTTTCATTTTGTGTCTTCCAAGCCAGACAACGTTAAGTTATGATGTACCTTCTTTTAGTTCTAGAGGATGAGAAGTGGAAGCAGTTGGTCGAATGGTTACAACATTAAATCCACAAGAACAACTGACAACATCCTCAAAATGGGACATTTCGAACACTATAATTTGAAGATTTTAATTTAAAGACCTTAAAATTTGAATATTGAATATAAATACTTATGAAATAATACTGCACACAAGTGGTACAATACTCAAATTATTAGTAAAAGCTTAAAATCGACTATGTGTTCCAAACTAAGATATCGAGATTCGAGACATTTGATTAAACAGAGGCCCAAAAGTACGGCCCAATATTATTCAATCGATCCATTATGAGAAGTTCACGTTCACCTACAAATTAATTGGGAGAAAAGATCTTATGAAACGGTTAACTATTCCCATTCCAAAGCGAAAAGTTGACAATCTTCTCTGTTTCTAAGTTTCTCTTCTTCTTAAAAGGAATCTCCATGGTACTTCTATGTTTTTTTTTTTAAAGTGTTTTGAAGCAAATTATAATTACTATAGTATAGGTCCAAAACAGAGTAATATTTCTGAAATATGACAAAGATTTTCTTCTTAATTTTCGTGTATAACAGTGACTTTTCCCAATTTTTTTCTTGGGATAGAAATGTTTCTATAAACAATATAGTAACAATTTGACACGCAATGACATTAACTATGAACAAAAAAAAAAAGGAAAAACACGAAACAACTGACAAAAAATTAGAGGCTCACGATCAAAATGACGACTGAGTTGGAGGAGTTCTGCTCTGGTGACTGGAGAGAGAGATGAAGCTTGCAGGATTTTCCCGCCGATGATCATGATTGACAGCAGCAATGATCGGCGTTGGTTCGCCGTTGGAGGAAGAACCATCAGCTTCACCAAAAAGGAAAGGTGGTTTTCAATTTTCACGTGGCGGAGGTGCAGAGTACGTTTGATTTCCGATGCTTTTAATAATATTTAAAGAAAAGGATTACAGTGTCATAAGCACGTGCTTAAAACGTGATGATATAACAGAAATGAGAAGAAAAGGACAAGGATTCGATAAATAAGGAATAAAAAGAAAAACTGAAATCGAAAAGCCGAAGGAATAATTATCCAAAATTCTGCTTCCAAGAAGCCACGTTAGCTGCGAACTAGATTCATCCACACAAATCCCAGCGCTATTCCTCTCTCTCTCGACTCTTTTTGCTTTTGGGGTGATGGCGGTGGCGGTGGCGTTGGGGGGCCAATAAAGCTGAAACTCCCTTTGTGTTTCTATTATTAATGGCTTCCATCAATCTCAAATTTTCCTTAATGGCTCTCGCCCGTTTACAGTAAGTTCATTTTTTTTTTCTTTTTGCCTTAATCTTTTCCGGGCTTCCATGATTTTATCATTTTTTGGGAAACTTTTCTAATTATGCTTAATCTGTAATTTTTGGGTTAAAAATATGTTACTTTAGTGGTTTCCATATTAAGTCTTGGTATATCTCGGTAATTGACATAAAGACAGATAATTTTTCATCATTTTAATTATTACTTGAAAATGTTAATTGAGTGTTCTACAGGTATTTGTTAACTGAAATTTAAGGAAATGCGATAGTCTACTATGAATTGAATGTAGTGATTTCTTGTGCATTGAAGAAAAATATTTTTCGAATATTAAAAGTTTGATAAGTACTCTTAAGTCACTAGTTAGCAAGATTCTTTTATAATTTTATGTGTTATTATTCTAGAATTCTAGTGGTTTAAGTATATATGAATTGTTTTTTCTTTTCTTCTGTTTTATTTAGAGGGTACAATGGTTCGAATCCTATTAATACAGCAAATGGGTGCAAGCCTGTTTTGTTTTCTAGCATTTTGACTAGAAAGCTAGGTTTGAGTTTCAAGGGTGCTGGTAAAGTTAGCGCTGCATTGGTATCTGGAGAAGGGGATGTCCTATCTTATCCTAATAGTAATGGATCTGTTACTGGGAAAACTGGTTTTGTCAATGGACTTGTTGACCAACCAACTGGGATTGAGATACAACCTGATGCTATAGGTTTTGGAACACTTGCGGCTGAAATAACTCCTATGACTAGTGGTTTCTTGTCTGATGAATACGACCTGGATCATCCTACAGAAGGATTTGCTTCCATCCCGGAAGCCATTGAAGATATTCGTCAAGGAAAGGTTTGCCATTGCCCTAAATACATGTCTGATAATTTTTTATAAGGATTATAGATTGCTAATCAAGGAAAATTTTCAGTTAGTGATTGTTGTAGATGATGAAGATAGAGAAAATGAGGGTGATCTGATAATGGCAGCGTCATTGGTAACACCTGAGGCCATGGCCTTTATTGTCAAGCATGGAACTGGAATTGTTTGTGTGAGCATGAAAGCTGAAGACTTGGAGAGGTTAGAACTACCATTAATGGTGACCCAGAAGGAGAATGAGGAAAAACTTTGTACAGCATTCACTGTATCAGTGGTATGCTCTCTTCTTTTTTTGGAATACATGTGAAAGCTACAGCTTTTGTATTGTCAAAACTTGCAAGTTGGTGTGAGCACTTTCATTCTAATGGTGAATTCTTGTTTGGTCTTTTGCTTGCTTTCTATTTTAACTTTTTTTGTATCCTTGTTTTGACCTCAACTGCAATGGTTGCTTGCAGGATGCAAAGCATGGTACAACAACAGGTGTCTCTGCTCGTGATAGAGCTACAACAGTGCTGGCTTTGGCATCAAAAGAGTCAAATCCTGAAGGTTTCAACCGCCCAGGTCATATTTTTCCTTTGAAGTACAGGGAGGGAGGGGTTCTGAAAAGAGCTGGGCACACTGAAGCTTCTGTTGATCTTGCTGTATTAGCTGGGCTAGAACCTGCTGCAGTTTTATGTGAGATTGTGGATGATGATGGTTCCATGGCTAGGTTGCCAAAGCTTCGTGAATTTGCACAGGCAGAAAAACTGAAGATTATTTCTATTGCTGATCTAATCAGGTACACTGATGAGCCTTTTTCATAGAGAATGCTGGTGTTATTGTTAAGGTTTTATTGCTTTTCTCACTGCTTGAGTCTCTTCAAGCTAAAGGATAGGTATATGGGCTGCAAACTAGTTTGTAAACTGAATTGCCCAGTTTGCCTGCTCCTACATGAAAGGGGGAAAAAAAAGGGAGAAGTCAGAACTTGCTGCTTAATACCATCACATACCACTGGTCCTAGATGTACTAAAAGGGAAGAAAGAAGATAGACCTTGTAGAGTTAGTACGACTCCCGTCCTATGTTTCAGCCCTGTTGAGAATGGTCTATGGGTGTGAGCCCAAAAAATGAGGAAAAACTAAAGGAGAAGAAATAAAATGCATTAACCATCAATTAATGTTGCTTGTTTTTGTAAGTTCTTCCAACTATGTCCTTGCTATGTTACTGACTCTTTCATTTCCTGAAGTACTAGTGTTGGAAACATATTCAACATCTCAAAGTGGACATCTTATAAGGGTATGACTATCCAAATAGAAGGGAAAATTTAGAAGGTGAACATACACATGTTGAAATGCAGACCCACTTTTGTATCTGGGTCTGAGCAACCTAGCTTTTAAGGAACGTCTAATCATCAACATCATAACTCATCTGTTTTTTTTTTTTTTTCATTTATAGACTAACAAAATTAATCCATTTTCTGAAGTTGTTTATATTATAATATTTGGCAGATATAGGAGGAAAAGAGATAGGCTGGTGGAGCTGGCTGCTGCTGCACTGATACCCACAATGTGGGGCCCATTTAAAGCATACTGTTATCGGTCATTGCTAGATGGGATCGAGCACATTGCGATGGTTAAAGTAAGCAATTTATCTGAGCTAGCGTGCGCACCATCTTCATCTGTTTCTTTTTAATATTCAGTAGGCAACACCAATGCTAGACAACCAGGTTTTAAAGCTGGGAATTCAAGGGTATTCTTGATGTTGTAGCATTAATATGTGCTTGGGTATATTGTTAGAAGCTACATGGCGTGCATCTTGCTCTTCAGTGATGCACTCATATTTGCTGACTTTCTATGATATTGGTCATTTTTGTGTTTAACTCTGCCATCTGCACTTGTTTTTGTTGCTACAGTCATAAAACATGTTTTACTACTTTATAAAAGCGTTGCTGAGCAGATATACTTCCAGACGGCATTTGTGAGTCCTTTTGCAAGTTATAGCTTGGCAACTTGAGTTGATCAGCTGGTTATACTAGATTACATGCCTTCTTTTTGTGGACCTTGTATCACACAGAAAATTTTGTTTGCCCCAATAGTACTATTTTTGTTTTTAGTGATGATATCAGAGCTTAGGATATGGTTCTTGGGTAGCAATAGTCTTAATTAATATTTGGATTTTGTAAGGCCTGGCAAAATTCTTTGTATGTGAATGCATTAGGCACACAGGCTTGAAAGAGAGAAATAACTTGTACAATGAAATTCAGAAAAGCTTTTGAGCCTACATATACACTGTAGATAATCAATAATGAAGCCACCTCTATTCTTGCAGGATACCCTGGTTTTGGAATTTTTAAAAATCTAGTAAAGGCGTGTGATTTGGGGTTTTAATATTCCAGATATGTTTTGGAAGTTGGGAACAGCTACGGCTTTCAATAATAGTGTAAATGATAGAATAGAGACCCTAAATATGCATGTCCTGATCAGGATTTAAATGTGCCTGAAGGATAAAGAGACTCTTTTTCCCACATTAGTCAAAAAGGTGGAGGCTTTGGCAACATGTTGTCTTGATTTAGTTTAAGGCTTCAATCTAAGTTCACCGGATCATATTTTATATCATTATCTAATTGTTTCCCAATGTACTCTACTTAATCTAAACTTTTTTTTTGCCCTTATAATTTTTTATAATAGTTAATTGGGGAGGGGGGAATTTTAACTGGGACCTCCATTTTGAAGGAAAAGTGTGGCTTGTCCGTTGTATGCAAAAAACTTTATCAGACTGGGTAGATCTGCTGATATAGTAGGGAATTGACTGGATTGTGGTACCTGCAGGGTGAAATTGGCGATGGGCAAGATATTCTTGTGAGGGTACATTCTGAGTGCCTCACTGGTGACATATTTGGGTCAGCCAGATGTGATTGTGGCAACCAGCTGGCACTAGCAATGAAGCAAATTGAGGCAGCTGGGCAGGGTGTATTGGTGTATCTTCGTGGACATGAAGGTAGAGGCATTGGTTTGGGCCACAAGCTCCGTGCTTACAACCTACAAGATGATGGACGTGATACAGTTGAGGCCAATGAGGAGCTTGGGTTACCTGTTGACTCTCGAGAATATGGTATTGGTGCACAGGTATGTTTTTTTTAGCAATTTGTCAGGTATTATTTATGCATTGCCTCTGTATTTAATAGAATTACTCATGTTACCCGTTAAGTTAAATGTTCTATTATTTCAGTAGGCATCAGATAATGAATCACCCTTCGGTTGAAAATGATCATCGCTAACTAGGCAAATTTACTCTAGGGAAACTATGGGCATTTTTCATTGGGGGAATTGTGCAACCTTTAATGTAATTTAAGATGTTGTCAGTCTTTTTGTTGCAGATATTTGTAACATCGTATTTCATGCTGTAAGAAGCTCCATTAGTGCGTTTGGAATCAAAGTTTGACCATGTTTTTATACCTGTAGCATATGATATACTGACCTTTTGCATCGCCTACATGGCTGATTTTACGAATCTATCTGCTGCAGATACTACGGGATCTGGGTGTTCATACAATGAGGCTGATGACAAACAATCCTGCAAAGTATGTTGGGCTTAAAGGTTATGGTTTGGCCATTGCCGGCAGGGTTCCATTATTGACCCCGATAACGAAGCAGAACAAAAGGTACTTGGAGACAAAACGTGCAAAAATGGGGCATATTTATGGTTCAGATATTAATTCGACCAGTAACACCTCCTCTATTGCCATATCCGAGACATAAGCAGGTCTGTTTAGATATCCTTGTTGCTTGAGTTAGTATGTCAAGTAGGTCTGCTGGGATAACAACATAATCGGGAGATGCTCTGACACTGGCATTGAATTTTGATTTGCTATTTAATTTTAAAATTTTATAATAGGGAACCTAATCATGTTGAAAATCCTGGTTCAGGTTCACCATATCTATTCCATGTAAATACTTTCTTTTTTTAATTTTCTTTTGCTATGGAAGTGTAAATATTATATCATCAAGCAAATTAAGAATCAAAGGCTGTGGGGTATAAAGTACTAATTTATTTTTCTGATTGCAAGAGAAAACTGCATCATCTCCTTCGATATTTTTAAAAATATTTACTTTTATTTTTCATATATATTTACATAAAATCACATATTTTTTTTCTTTTTATTTCACTTTTTTATTAATGACAATTTTAAATTGCATATGTTTTTATTTTTATTATTATATATTTTTAATTTTAATTTTTTGATTTATTATAATGATAATGTTATTTATAATATGAAATTTCAATCAATAATAAAAAAAATGTAAATAAATGATTTTTATTAATAAGGTATAAAAAGAGTTCATTAAGCAGAAGATTTTTTATTTATCAGTTGAATTGATTTATTAATTTTTTTATAAATTTTAAATTAATGATTATAATTTAATTTAATAATTTTTATTAATTGATTTTTATTAATTGACTTTACAGTAACATAAAAAATAATAACCTTACATAATTTGTCATGAATCTTATCCTGACCCGCGCGGGAATCTTTCCTTTTGTACATTCATCATTCAGTTTTGACAAGTGGATGTTTTTTATAAGGCCACGTAATCATCCGGGAATTTGCTGGCCTCCCAGGACTGCGTATAAAGTTTCAGTAGGACTAGAGACTTAGTGAGCAAGTCATGCTTTCCATGGCTTCTGGTCAACAAATGTTGGGTGGAAAAAGGTTGAAGAAACATAGACTTGATATAAAAAATTATCTGTAAATAAAACTATAATCAATGCTAATTGGCTTGTTTAATATTTTTTTCATGAATTTTGATTTCGAGTTTTACCTTTTTTAACAATTTTAAAGAAAATTTGAAATTGTGATGTTGTACAAAGTTTAATGTAATTCATGTGTGATGTTATTTGAAGGTAAATTTATCTTATTAATGTTAAGAATTTTTGAAATTGATTTGAGATAATTTTATTAAATTAATTTTTTATATTATTTTAATAATTTAAATAGAATAATCATTTCGAGATAATGACTATTTTGATCTGTCTTTAGAAATAATCATTTTGAAAATTGATTATATAACGAAATAAATAATATCACAAAGGGAAAGTGAGTGATTATTCAATTTTCTCCAACAAAACATGTCATTAAAATTTATGTTTTAATGGTAATTTGGGAAAATTCAAATCTAAACGATCAGTACTTAGCAAACTAAGTGGGTAGTATATGGAAAGCTTTGTAGTGTATAATAAAAAGGAAGGAAAGAAGAGGAAAATTTGAAGTGGCTTAAGGGATAAGTTGAGAGCAGTAGGAAAAAAGGGAGAGGGGCATCCAATTCCTTGTTAAAGCCACAACCCACTTTCCCAGTCCTCTTCAATTTCTTCAAATGACAAGTCCGACCAAGGTGATGATCTTGGTATTGCCATTGCCAAATTACCATCATCCTCGGCTGTCTCGTAATTCCCACTTTCTCCAAACTTCTCTTTTAAAAAAACAGAAGAAAAACCCAAAATTCTAAGTCCTAGTAAAAAAAACACACAAGTCTCGAGTCTTCTTTTATTTATTTTTCTATTAGATTCACTCTCACACTCACTCTCCTCTTCTCTTCTTCAAACTCCGTGAAATAGGAAAAAAAAAAAAAAAAGCGTCCAAAACAGCCCAAAGCGAATTATAACTTTATTTTTGCCTTTATTTTTTTATTTTTTTTATTTTCTCTATGCCATGAAAAACTTCTCTTCTTCCTCTAACCACCGCCACCCGCCGCCGGCCGGTGGCCATAAACCCTACACCACACACCACCACCCTCACAATTACCAAAGCAACCACCAACCGAGACCCAATTTTCAGCCAGTCAATAACCAAAATGTCGCCGCTACCCACCGCCACCACCCACGGCCGTTGCTTCCAACAATTCCAATATCCTCCGCCGCCCAAACTTCGTAATTCGACTCATCGACGACTCTTCCTCCTCCCCCGCTAGGCCCAACGACCTCCAAACTTTAATTTCCCAACTCAACCCAGCCCCCGAAAATTCCCTAATTCACCCACCGGAAAACCTCCGCTTCCCTGTTTTTCCGGGAATGGATCCACACCTCTCTTCCATTCTCTCTCTCTGGCGTTCCCGCCTTGATGGGTCCCACCATTTTACTCCCAACCTTATTTGCAACGTCCTTGTGCCTTCTGACATGGTGGAACTCAAACAAAACCTTAAAACCCTTTTTTCCAACCATATAAAGGGATTGATGGAAGGGGACTTGGTTAAAAAATGGAGAAGAAGATCGAGGAAAAATCAGATGAGATTGCTGGTGTGTCAGCACAAATGGGTAAGCGGCATAATTCGATGGGAGGATTTTTTGAGTTGAATGACAAGAAGAAAGGTTTGATGGCGGAGAGGTCGATGATTTCAAAGCGGTTGAAGGAGTTTAAGGGAGGGATGAGGAGTTTGTTGGGGTGTCTGGAAGATGGGTAATCGGAATGTGGAAGAAGGGGATGGTGTGAGGTTTTCAGGTTTGATGGAGAGCTTGATTGGGAGAGATTTCATAGGCTGATTTTGAGGGAATGCAGGAGGTTGGAAGATGGTTTGCTATTTATGCTCATAGGCAAGAGATTCTCACTAAAATACATGGTGAACAGGTGAAAAATTTATTTCTCACTCCTTTATTTATATTGTATTTAGCTCCTTTTTTTGGGTTTTGTGATTGATTTTGGAAGGTGGATTCAGATTATTATCTTATGTGTGTTGGCATTGCTGTTTAAAACCTTGGTGATGCAGAACTTGAAAGGTTGTTTATATACTTGCCATGTGTGGTGGAGTTTAAAAAAATATGAAAAAGAGGTTTATATGCGTGAAACATGTTCATTTAAAGATTATCATCAAATATATTGACAGTGTAATTTAGAATTTAAAAACTTGAAAAGTAGGTTTAATTACTTTCCAAGTGCAATAGAGGTTAAAGCTTACAAAGTAAGTGTTTATACTTGCCTTGTAACGGATTATTATCTTAACATTGACCATGTTTATTGAAAATTTCCATGATTTTGTTTATATATATATATATATATATATATATATATATATATGTCAGGTGTTCATTTAGTTGCAAATAAAGAAATTTAGAACCAATTAATAAGTGGGGCCTGCAAGAAATTAAGGTATTATCAAACTGAAAAAGCAGATTCTGTTTATCTTCCCATGCAGTAGTAGATAGTAACTGCAAGATGATTAGGAAATTCTCTTTGCTCTTTTATTTATTTTGTTCTTGTGTTACTTTATTGTTTAAATTTAGTTATAGTGTGGTGTTTTTTTTCTGGGTTTCTCTTATAAGTATTAAATGCACAGATAATGGTATTGATTGGAGAGACTGGTTCAGGAAAGAGCACACAGCTGGTCCAGTTTCTTGCTGATTCAGGAATTGCTGCTAATGAGTCAATTGTCTGTACTCAGCCACGAAAGATTGCTGCTATCTCATTAGCACAAAGAGTTAGAGAAGAAAGCATTGGATGTTATGATGATAATTCAGTCGTATGTTATCCAACATTTTCATCTGCTCAACAGTTTAATTCGAAGGTTATATATATGACGGACCACTGCTTACTCCAGCATTATATGAATGATAGGAATTTGTCGGGGATTTCTTGCATCATTGTTGATGAGGCCCATGAAAGAAGTTTGAACACCGATCTTCTTTTGGCATTGGTTAAAGATTTACTTGGTCGAAGGCTTGAGTTAAGGCTTGTAATAATGTCTGCAACGGCTAATGCAGATAAACTCTCAGACTACTTTTTTGGTTGTGGAATCTTTCGTGTGATGGGGAGACACTTTTCTGTTGATATTAAATATGTTCCTTGTGCAACCGAGGGAACTTCTGGCTCCGGTATGGTTGCTTCATATGTTTCTGATGTCATAAGGATGGCTGCTGAGGTTCACAAAACAGAGAAAGAGGGGACTATTCTTGCCTTTTTGACTTCCCAGATGGAAGTAGAATGGACTTGTGATAATTTTGAAGCTCCAAACGCAGTTGCATTACCATTGCATGGAAAGCTATCCTTTGAAGAGCAGTTTCATGTTTTCCAGAATTACCCTGGGAAAAGAAAAGTTGTATTTGCAACAAATATTGCAGAGACGTCACTTACAATTCCTGGGGTCAAGTATGTGATTGATTCTGGTATGGTGAAGGAGAGTAAATTTGAACCTGGCACTGGAATGAATGTTCTTAGAGTGTGCTGGATCAGCCAGAGTTCCGCTAATCAACGGGCTGGTCGTGCTGGGAGGACAGAACCAGGAAGATGCTACAGACTATACACAGCTAGTGATTTTGAGTTGATGCCTCCTAATCAGGAGCCTGAGATTCGCAGAGTTCATCTTGGTGTTGCAGTTCTGAGGATCCTTGCTTTGGGAATCAAGAATGTTCAGAGTTTTGATTTTGTTGATGCACCTAGTTCAAAAGCCATTGACATGGCAACTAGGAATCTTATCCAGTTGGGAGCCATTATTCAAAAGAATGGTATTCTTGAATTAACTGATGAAGGACGGTACTTGGTAAAATTGGGGATTGAGCCTCGTCTCGGTAAGCTGATTCTCAGTTGCTTTCATTGTGGCCTGCGTAGAGAGGGCCTTGTTCTTGCTGCTGTTATGGCAAATGCCAGTAGCATATTTTGCAGGGTGGGTAATGAAGGTGATAAGGTAAAAGCTGATTGCCTTAAGGTGCAATTTTGCCACCGGAACGGTGATCTCTTTACTCTGCTTTCGGTGTACAAGGAATGGGAAGCTCTCCCGCACAACAGGAAAAACAAATGGTGCTGGGAAAACAGTATAAATGCTAAATCAATGCGGAGGTGCCAAGACACAGTCACTGAATTGGAAATTTGTCTGCAAAAGGAACTTTCTGTTATTATTCCAAGCTTTTTGTTATGGGATCCTCATAAGTCTACTGAGCGTGATAAATTTTTGAAGGCAATTATACTGTCTTCCCTGGCTGAAAATGTGGCCATGTATTCTGGATACGATCAACTTGGTTATCAGGTGGCATTGACTGGACAACATGTTCGGCTACATCCTTCATGTTCATTGCTGATATTTGGTCAGAAGCCGAGTTGGGTTGTTTTTGGTGAACTCTTATCAATAACTAATCAGTATTTGGTTTGTGTAACTGCTTTTGATTTTGAATCTTTAGCAACACTTCATCCTCCGCCCCTGTTTGATGCATCTAGGATGGAAAGCAGAAAGTTGCAAGTGAAGGCAGTGACTGGTTTTGGTAGTACACTACTAAAAAAATTCTGTGGGAAATCCAACCATAATCTTCGATCTCTTGTATCACGGATTAGGACTGCCTGTATGGACGAACGGATTGGTGTTGAAGTCAATGTTGATCAGAATGAGATTCTGCTGTTTGCTTCGTCAATGGACATGCAGAAGGTTCTGGCCTTGGTAAATGAGGTGCTGGAATGTGAAAGGAAATGGTTACTTAATGAATGCATGGAGAAATGTTTATTTCATGGACAGTGTGCCTCACCATCTATGGCACTTTTTGGAGCCGGTGCTGAGATTAAGCATCTTGAAGTTGATAAGAGATGTCTGACTCTTGATGTATTTCATTCAAATGTGAATGGCCTTGAAGATAAGGAGCTTTTGATGTTCTTTGAGAAATATTCTAATGGTAGTATTTGTTCTGTCCATAAATCTCAAGCCAGTGGACATGAGAGTGATGACAAGGAAAAATGGGGCAAGATAACGTTCCTAAATCCTGATGCTGCCAGAAAAGCTGCTGAGCTGGATGGAGTTGACTTTGCTGGCTCTGCATTGAAGGTACTTCCTTCACGGACATCGTTTGGAGCTGATCATAAGATGTTCTCGTTCCCTGCTGTCAAAGCAAAAGTTTATTGGCCTCGCAGGCTGAGTAAAGGGTTTGGAATTGTTAAATGTGATCTGCTTGATATTGGTTTCATTATTGATGATTTCTCTAGTCTGGTAATAGGGGGAAAATATGTTCGCTGTGAAGTTAGCAGGAAATCTGTTGATGCCATAGTGATATACGGAATTGATAAGGAGCTTTCTGAAGCTGAAGTTTGGGATGAACTACAGACGGCAACAAAAAGGAAAATCCATGATTTTTTCCTGGTGAGAGGAGATGCTGTGGAAAACCCGACATGTAGTGCTTGTGAAGAGGCACTCCACAGAGAAATAGCCCCCTTTATGCCTAAAAGGACTCCCCATGCAAATTGTTGCCGGGTTCAGGTTTTCCAGCCTGAACCAAAGGAGAGTTTCATGAAAGCCTTGATCACCTTTGATGGAAGATTACATTTGGAGGCTGCAAAAGCTTTAGAACAGCTAGAGGGGAAAGTATTACCTGGATGTCTGTCATGGCAGAAGATAAGGTGCGAGCAAGTGTTTCATAGCTCTATATCCTGCTCATCATCTGTCTATGCTGTTATTAGGAAGCAACTGGATTCTTTACTAGCAAGCTTCAGACATCTAAAAGGTACTCATGCTGGCATAACATTATTTTTTTTTTCTTTTTCCTGTCTAGCATTCATGTGTATTTAAAATATTAGAGGGGTAGTTACTCTATAAGTCCTAAAAGTTTGCATGAATGTGCAATAAGACTTGTAGGTTTGAAAATGACCAATTTAGTCCTAAATCCATTCAATTTCTAATGGTGGAAGTCTGTTAACCTAAAACCATAATGGCAAAGCCATCATGTCATTATTATAATTTATATGGCCATGTATCGATTTTTTGTAAACCACTTGTCATTCATGTCACCATTGGTGGGTTGAGTAAGATATATATGTCATCATTTTTCTTTTTTACTTGTTCTTTTTTTTTTTTTCCTTTTTTCCTTCTTTGCTTCTTCTCAGAGGTTCAGAATCTCACAATCTCTCTCAATAATCCCCCTCTTGCTCTCTCTTGCCACCTCTCCTTACCAATGTCAAATCATTTCATGCATTTGGCACTAGGGCATATAATGGAAAAGAAAAGAAACATTAGATCTAATTTAGATTTCCATCTCTATATCTTTTCTTTCCATTATGTCAGTACATTGAGAGATATTGATTCAGGATTTTACAGTAATGGAAAAGAAACACATGCTCACCATTTCTGAAATCTCAGGATTTTATGGATCATATCAAGATATTGATTCAGGCCATTTCTCTTTCTTTTTTTTTCCCCCTTTGTGCCGGTGTTTGTTTCTTACTTTCTATTGAAATTTAACATAGCATTTGGTTGCTTGTCAATTATAAGTTATTTTTTTTATTTATTATAAAGATAAAGAATTAGGAATGGAGGCATTAATTATTGTTATCTTTACACTATTCTAGAACAAGAAACATGTTTAACAGTGAAGTTAAATTATAAGGATTGGTGATAAAAGGAGAAAAGAAAATTTAAAAATGTACTTTCAAGTTGGAAAGAAGGAGAGAGTTAAAGCTAATTGGAAAAGAGAGTGGGAAATTTATAAAGAAGACATGGAAAAAAAAAAAGAAAAGTAAGAAAGGAAACAAATGTCTGTCCTTAATGTGCCATATAGGTGACAACCAAACAAAAGCTGATAGTTACATGTCAAATTTGGTCTTACTCTTATTAAAGGTGACTGACAGAAGTGCTCAATCCCCGTACTATGTGTAAGTTGAATGATTTAATAGGTCATTTTCAAATTATAATACTTGATTGCACATTCACATAAACTTTTAGGATTCTTAGTATAGTTATCCTGATTTTAACCTATTAATACTGCACTATAGATAGTTAGTTTTGCAGCATATGGGTGATACTAAAAATTAATGAAGAGGTGAATTTTAGCATATAAAAGATTAGAATATATCTTCTAAAAGATGAGGAAAAAGTTTTTCTGTAAGCTGATTTCTTGAGCACTAATTTAGTTGTCTCTATAGTTTTCGGCTCCTTTTGCCTGCACCTGCTTCTCTGCTCGTCCTGGATTTTCTGATCAATGATTGGTATCTTGGCCAAAAGAAACAGGGATATTGGAGAGAAATATTAGGAGGGTGACAGTTTTGTGTTGTGCAGAAGTGGGATTACAGTGGAAAATAACTTTCCAGTTGGATAAGACTTCAACTCAAAATACTAAGTGGAGAGTTTGAGATGGTTACAGAGAAACTCTTCCATCCAATATCAGTATAGACTAAAGGCTGCATATCCTCATGTTGACATATTTGACTAAGTATTTCAGCAGTTTGATCATAAGGAGTTCACAAGTTCTCTTAAATTGCCAAGTGCTGATGGGCATAAATTATATTTTTTACAGGTGCAGGTTGCTACCTAGAGGCAAATGGAAATGGTTCCTATCGGGTGAGAATATCTGCCAATGCCACCAAAACCGTGGCAGAGTTGAGAAGGCCTGTGGAAGAGCTGATGAATGGTAAGACTGTAAATCATGCCAGCCTCACTCCCTCCATACTGCAGCATCTGTTCTCTAGAGATGGCATCACTCTGATGAGATCATTGCAGCGAGAGACAGGAACCTACATTTTTTTTGACAGGCATACTCTCAATATAAGAATCTTTGGCTCTCCAGATGATGCTGCTGTGGCCCAGCAAAAATTGATTCAATCCCTTTTATCCTACCATGAGAGCAAGCAGCTTGAGGTCAAACTTCGTGGTCGGGGTCTGCCTCCTGACCTGATGAAGGAAGTGGTAAAGAAATTCGGGCCAGATCTCCATGGGCTCAAAGAGAAGGTGCCTGGCGCTGAGTTTGCTCTTAGCACCAGGCATCATGTTATTTCAATTCGTGGTGACAAAGAGATGAAGAGGAAGGTAGAAGAGATTGTTCTTGCGATCGCAGAGACAGGTAAACATTTAGCTGAGAGATCTGATAGTGAGGTTACCTGCCCCATTTGCTTGTGTGAAGTTGAAGATGGCTACCAGCTTGAAGGCTGTTCCCATTTCTTCTGTCGTTTGTGTTTGGTAGACCAATGTGAGTCTGCCATCAAAAACTTGGATAGTTTTCCGGTATGCTGTGCCTACCAAGGTTGTAAAGCTCCCATATTGCTTGCTGATTTGAAGTCTCTCCTGTCAACGGAGAAGTTAGAGGAACTCTTTAGGGCTTCTTTAGGGGCATTTGTTGCATCCAGTAGGGGCACCTATAGATTTTGTCCGTCTCCTGATTGCCCGTCAGTGTATCGTGTTGCTGATCCTGAGACTTTTGGTGAGCCTTTTGTCTGTGGAGCATGTTATGCAGAGACTTGTACTAGGTGTCACCTGGAGTATCATCCATATCTGTCGTGTGAGATGTACAAGGAATTCAAGGAAGATCCAGATTCATCTTTGAAAGAGTGGTCCAAAGGAAAAGAGCAGGTGAAAACTTGCCCAGTCTGTGGATATACAGTTGAGAAAATCGATGGTTGCAACCATGTTGAATGTAAGTGTGGGAGGCATGTTTGCTGGGTCTGTTTGGAGTTCTTTAGTAGCAGTGATGATTGTTATAGCCACTTGAGGGCTGTTCACATGGCTATCATCTAATTTTAACCTATCTCACATTTTTTGTCGTAGGTTTTCTGTTACCATAACCCATGTAAATACTAATAGAGCCACATGTACAGGGCTATACACACATCTTGCCTGCAGATACAGACACCCGTAAATAATTTTAAACCGTTTCACATTTACTCGTGTTATTATAAAAGCTGCATCGCAGAAGTTTGTGCAGAAAAGGATTGCCTTCCCAAATGGGATTATAATATCAGATAAAACTCAACAAATATACCCGTTTCCTACTTTTAGCTGTTTGATTTTTGGATAAAGGTTCTCCTATTACTACTGATACAATAGCATTCAGAGCAAATATCTATAACCAAATGCAAAACCCACACTAGCAATGCCAAGGCAAAGCGCCAAAGCAACTAACCACGACATCTCATCCCCATTTCCGCCCTCATTTCCCTCTGGCAGCAATCTTTTCCCTTCTGGTTTGTCACAACAATGCTTCTCTTGCTTTGGCAACTGGGATTGCAGGTTTGAGACTTGAATCTCAAGCAATCTCACCCACTGCCGATAAGCGAACAACTGCAACGAATCCTTCACAAAGGCATTCGATATACGCTCCCTCTCCTTAGCCAAGCCTGCTGCCTTCTTTTCTGCTTCCCTTGCACGCGTTTGAGACAATCTCAACGCCTTCAAAAGCTCCAACTTGTCATCCTCACCTTCATTTCTAAATACCAGAAACTCATGATCGTCTTTATCAGTCTCTCGTCCCGTGCTGCAAACTCTATTCATCGACAAAGCAACCGCCTTATCCACCCCTGTAAAGACCTTCAGAGGTGGAGGGAGATCACAGTTTTGCATTAAATCAATACCAGACTTTTGAGAAATAAGAGTCCCTAACATCGTATCATTCTCTTTAGCAACCCTGGAATTCAACTTCTGATGGTTCTGCACCTGTCTCGCCATTGCTGATGGCTCCATGTTTGCAGTACAACAAACCTTGATCAATCCCCGAGTGCTTCTCCTTGAATCGGTACAGATCAGAATTTGGAAGAAAAGCCGTGTTAAGGCGCGGAAGAACGAAAAGGGGTTGGTGAAAGAGAGATACCAGCGCAAGTAACGGTGAAGTTTGCGAGGGGATTAAGGCTTTTATATATATCTTTTTATATTGGAAATTCGTTCCTTGCGTGCTTAGACTTAAGCTACAAATTAGACCATCGGTGTGATTTTGGGTTCCTTTTTTGTGTGGTCGCAGAAGTCTCCACTCTACCTTTTTCTCCAAGAATATATATAATTGACTATTAAAGAATGATTGCTGGGAAAGTTTAGAGCATGAATTTCTATTCTCCTGTTGAGATTAAGCTGCAAGCTTTTTCATTGTTCTACTCTTCTTTTATCACAAAAATAAATAATAACGTCATGAAATTAATATTTGCCTTGTTTGTGTCTAAAAGTGACCCCCCCAGTGCCTAGTAGTGTTTTACAAGGATTCTATTTTTTGGCTGTTTAATCACATCCAAAAGGTATTTCCAATTCAATTAAACTAGCATTAGATTGATAATGAAGATAAACCCATTGCCCAAAAGTTACAAAAATGAAAGGCTTCGCAACCCAAAAGAACTGTCACAATGATCTCTGCACCTCATCTAGTTTGGAGACAACCAAAACCAAGAGAAATATCAAACATCTCCCTGTTTGCAATAACCAAGACATGTTATTAAATGTGAGGTAGCAGGCATGCCTCATTAATCAAGTACAGCCCAAAATGATGGTCACAAAATATTTCCTCATGGGTGATAAAAGTTGGATACCAATTGTTTTTATATACAAAAAGAACAAAAATTTCCAGGAAAAAAAAATCAAATCTTTAAAATTTTCTATCATCAGGGTTACGTCATATGTGTTTATGAATTGGGCCTTGGTGGGTTTAGTTTTAGGCTTAAGGTTTTAAGGAAATTTTGGTATATTAGGTTGTAAGGAATTTGTTTATATTTACATAAAGAACAGCACTTATTGTGGTTAAAATACAACTCAAAAAATCAATACCCAAGTCTAGGAAGTAAGATGAGAAAGTACATGGTGGTAGTAAAAGCATCATTTTCCCATGGCTATTGCTTGGATCTCCCCAACAGAAAAAAAGGGGGTAATGTACTAATGTTATTGCCATCAATTAAAGAATTTGTTGGGCAAATTAAGCAAATTGTTCTTGAAAGTTTGGCAGATACTTATTTTTTGTTAAACATGTCGGCACCAAATCAATGAATCACTCTTGTCATGCATATTTATTACTTTTAGAACAATTTTTCCATGAATTAATGACTATGTACAATATGAATTTCATTCAGAAGCAAAATACAACAATCTCCAACTGTCTCTTCTGTATCCAAGCACAAAAAATTGCACAAATTGTTGGGTTTTTGCTTTGACGTTTAAATTCTACTTTGCTTAGTTGGCATCTTCACCCACTTTATTCACTTGGTTTTTCACTGGTTCAATCAAGGATTGAATGACTTCCTTTTCCACATCATCTGCATTTTTTCAGCCAAGATAATCCATGAACTCAACTCAATATTGAAAAACGTCCACAGATGATCAAATTAATCAATCTTGAAATTCAAAGTCCAAGATTCCATGCAATTATATCGAAGAACTGATCAACTCTTTTCTTATGACTTGCACAAGGGGAAAGGGAAAAATCCATGCAGGCAGCCATCAGGATCGGAAATTAAGAAGTTCAAATCAGTATACAAAAGACTGCTGCCACAAGAACAGGAAAAAAGCACGAAAAAAAAAGGGTGCTTGGGCATTTTTGTGAAGTACAGTAAAACCTTCTGAATTAGCTCTTCTGCTATACGAGCATCCTTGGCGGTTCTTTGGCTATGGTTTCAATGAAGCTTTCCGCTTCCGGAAGTGTATCAGCAACTTTATCTGCTACCTTCTCCACCTCCTCTGCCACCTTCTCCATTACCTCCACCACACATTCAACAGTTTCTACAACTCTGTCCTCCTTTTCCACAGAATCGACCAAACTTTTTCTAAGAAATGTCATGAAACAGCAATAAAAATCATGGTTGCCTCATTGCCAACATGTAATCCAGGCCTAATTACCCCTTTCTTGATATCAGAACTGATAAAAGAAGTGATTTAAAACTTACTTTTTTTCGCTAGTAAGGGTCCCCATTTGTGCTTCCGAAACGAAGGCACCGCTTACAATAACATTCCCAGCACCCAGCTTTTCCTGTTTAATATATTGTGCAACCAACAGCTGAAGATTATAAGCATTATTACAGAACAAGGAAAAGTAGTACAGTGCTGTTTTTATTGCTTACTATACCAGGAATTGGTAAAGGCACCAGGTGAACTCGAAGCTCCAGATTCAACAGAGTTGCACAAAAATCCTAATCCTATATATCAACCAAAGATGAATATATTGTTTAACATGAACATCCCAAGCCAACGCCAAGAGGCAACAATCCAAGCTTGATTATGAAACTTGGCTGATGGTTGCATCTTGATTTAAGGTAAGGTTGAAATCCTTGGCTGGTTCCAGCAGAAAAACCAACTTTCGAGCTGCAACAAAGTATCAATCTTGTCGTTGACATTGTTTCAACTTTCAACGTACTGAAAAGGCTATATATGGAGTTTGGAAGTTGGAGCCTTTATTTGATATATGCAATGCAATAGTAACTCTCAAAAGACAATGAAGTTTGTTGAGATCTAGGCATTTATAATTGATGTTGTTGAATAATTAATCAAAAGATTACTTGGAAAAGCATATTAAAGATGCATGTTATTAATTAGTTCATTGCAGATTAGATTTTTAGAGTTCAAATTTTGTCAAAGAAAAGCTATACCACCTTGCCAAAAGAGTTAAAAGAGTACGAGTATTAAATAATCCTATTTGCCTAAAGTATTATTTTGATAATTGTGATTTATATTAAATTGGGGGTTTCCAAATGCTTCATTCTAATTCTGTCTTATATAGTATTAAACCAATTAATTTACTTTATGGTTTATCTTAATTCTGAATTACTCTAATTAATCCTCTTAATTAAAATCAGCTACCAGCTAATGGTGACATAGGATGCATGGTAGCTTCGGCTGGTTCCCTTAGAGGATGGTTAAGTAAAACATAAACCCACTAATAATCCTCGTCCAGAACTAACAATGTAATATAATATACAACGTAGTTTTGTGATTGCCTAAAACCTTGGCGGCGGGGCTTTTACTTTTGTAGCCGTTAAGAGAATAGTCGCAGGTACCAAGTTCTAATAGAAGAAGTAAGCAGGGTTTACTTCGAGTTCGAATTCAACAAGTAAACGGGGCAAACGCCTAGGCTTGCTGCTTTTACTATAAAAGCCGTTCCCTCTGTTTATTTGCACCGTCTTACTTCGCTCTTTAACAGGCTAGGCTTTTATTTCTTTACACAATCTCTCTCCTTTAATTATTAATTATTATTTTCTCAGGCTATGGGATTGTTGTATTGTTTGCTTTAATTTTTTTTTTAAATAGGTTCATGCTAAGAAAAGATGGATTTGACCTAATAAATTAGTGAACAAAATGTCACATACGAGACATAACTTTGACCCTTATTATAATCAAATAAAGACCACCGAAGCAGCAAAAGATTGTTCTGAGCTCAAAAATCGTCAAAACCAACAAACCCACTCCTAACATTCCACCCTCTCCCAATGGTTAAATCCTTTCTCCCATTCCTTGACTCACAAAAGAAACCAAGGCCATTCTATCTAGGAGGCTAGCTGCTGATTGCACCAAAAATCTTCGATTGGAGTCCAGAAAAGCTCGTGACAGCAGCACATACCTTGCAAAACTTCTTAATATCTCCAAAGATGAGCACCCTGACCAACTTATACAAAATAAGGTCAGATAACGTTGAAAAAGAAAATTACAAGAAAATACAA